TTTTTGGGTTAAACTTGTTTGGACTTATTGTACAAACCTATTTAACATCCACTATTTTAACATAACATTATGGATAGAGTTTAATTCAGTGTTTGCAAGATTCATTTCACTATTTTTAAATGAATGTCTATATTGCCATGAAGCTATTACGATTTTCTTGTCTGTGATCTTCCTATTGGTGACCTAATCAAAATATCAACATCTTAGTATCGATACCCCCCCCCCGGGGCCTGGATGGGTTGTCACGATACTAAAATGTTCAAATTGATATTCAGGAAAATACTGATACTCGATACCATTTTCGATACCACAAGGATAAAAACAAAGACCCCAAAATCTATGAATTTTGACAGGTTAGTGTCTTTGGTTTCAAACTGACCTGTTACTGACGTTATGGTGGCCCACATTAATGAGCCTAACCCTAACCCACATTAATGACCCTAACCCTGACTCTAACCCTAACCCTGACCCTGACTCTAACCCTAACCCTGACCCTAACCCACATTAATGACACTAACCCTAACCCTGACCCTAAACCTAACCCTCCAGCCTTCATAATTGTGAGAAATAAATATTTTTTGGTTAAACTTGTTTGGACTTATTGTACAAACCTATTTAACATACACTATTTTAACATAATATTATGGATAGAGTTTAACACTTTGATTAATGATTAAATAAATTAAAGTGTTTGCAAGATTCATTTCACTATTTTTAAATTAATATCTACATTGCCATGAAGCAATTAGGATTTTCTTGCCTGGGACCTTCCTATTGGTGACCTAATCAAAACGGCAACATTTTAGCATGGATCATTTTTTGAGTATCGGTACTTTTGACAATCCTAGTCCCCCCCCCTCCGGGGCCCTGAATGGTCTCTCCCCCCCCGGATGCTGGTACCTGTCCCGGTGGCAGCACAGGCGCACAGGTCCCGGCCCATCAGACCCACGGGGACACAGGCCTTCTGGATGGGGGTCGGCTGCTTGAAGCCCAGAGCCGTAACGGCCTGTAAGGGAAAAACACCCGGGGTCAAAGGTCAGAACGCCCAGGGACAGGTCAGAGGTCAGTGGACACTTAACTCATTGACACATTAGACACCAGGGGGGAGGGTTAGGGTTAGACACCGGGGGGGGAGGGTTGGGGTTAGGGCCGGGGGGGGGGGTTAAGGTTAACTCATTGACTGGCAGCCATTTTCAGAACAGAGTCCCATACTGCCAGAGTTTTTTGAGCATTTTGACTGATTTTTCTAGAGCCACAGAATAGTTTGTGCTATGACTATGTAAACACCGAACACACCAAAAGAAAGAGTAGACTCTCTTCTTTCATCAGGAAAATTTTTTTGTTTCTACCTTA